TTCTTGTTGTCTGTTGCGTGTGGCTTCTTTTAATTTGTTTTCATCGCTTTTGACCCCCTGAAGCGCTTTTCGTGTGGCTCCTTGTTGTGTGTGAAGAAAAACGTTTTGGGTTTTTGTTGTCTAGAGCTAAGGCAACCATCCTGCGTGGCAACAAGGCGCGCAGGTTGGCTCCTGACTTCCGAATGCAAGTGAGAATTCAGTAGTTGACTCCACTTCGAGCGTTAGGCCTTCGCCTAGGGTGCTTTATCTCTTTTCGGGCCCGGCACGCAAGGCGGATGAGAGACACTCGTTGGAGGAGCTCTGCATGGCACAGTCCGTTTCTTTGATGATGACGGAGGTCGACATTTGTCGCGACCCAAGCATGGATCTTTTGGACTCCGCAGTCGCCACGGTGCCTGCAGAAAGTCACTAATTCTGAGTGGGACGTGGTGCTGGTGACTCCTCCGTGCAGTTCCTTTTGGAGGGCGCTGTGCGCACAGCCGGGGCCTCCGTGGGTGCTGTATCAGTCCAAGGCTCCATCCGCAAAGTTCCAGGTCAGTGCGAGTTCTGATTTAAACAGGCATTCCACATCGGAGTTCGAAGTTCGAGGTCTGTCAGAGCTCTGATTTGAAAGTCAGGGGCGTCCCACTAAAGTCGGGTGAATGCATGTGTAAGCGGGCGAGCGAGTAAGTGAATGAGAGAGTGAGATAGTGAGAGAGGGCCAGGATCCAAAAGCGCAATGGAAAATTGTTTGTAAAGCTTTTTGGACCATCTTCTTCTTTTTGGCTGTTTCCTCCAGTGTTTAGCAAGGGTTCACTGCAGTTTTGCATTTTAATTAGAGGTGGCTCCCACTGCGTCAGACGCAGAAGCCCACTGTCGGACATTAAAGAAAGCTTCTGGTGCTTGCAACAGCCAAGATAGCCAGATGTTGCTGGGCACCAAGCCCTTACTGTACAGGTTCCGGAGCTCGTAGTGTGAACACCAACCATCGCTTAAATGCTGCATAGCAATGCGTGTCCAATGGTTGGAGTATCTTGGGATGCAGATGAGCCTCAGTCTTTGGCATGCGCAGTTCTCATCAGCTGCTCCACAGATGGCAGGATGCACGTTTAGAAGCAAGTGAACCTCGTGCAGCTTTGTCCCTTTATTTTCCCTTGCTTGGCTTTTGTTCCTAATTTGCCGAATTCCTGATTTGCGATTTGCTTCTCATCTCGCCTTGTGTGTGCGTCTCTCCGGTAGAGGTCGAAAAAAAGCACCGGAGGTCCAGAAAAAGAT